GAGAGTCCATTTCCCAGGTCCTTTCAGCTAGACTTGGATAGTGGCTGGAGTACCAAAGTATAGCTTGGGACAATTTTAGAGATCACCAAATCTCCAAAAGGTTTTGAGAAAATGACAAGTAAAAAGCTAAAATTAAATGAAAAATATTTTAAGCATTGCAAACTATTTCAATGAAACAGGAGTAAACACTGGCTTAAACTGAAGCTGGCGCTCCTGGGCGAGATGTGCAAAAGTAATCTTGCAGGAAAATCCCAAAAATCTGATGGAGAAGTATTGGTCTCCATTGTTCAATTTTGGCTTGTATAAATTCAGTACCTCAAGAAGGTGAGGTTGTTGAAAATAGAGTATAAACATCTGCAAATTTCTATTTAGACTTCTCAATTTAGGACAACACAGAAAATAAGCAACATGCTAAAATTAAACATTAAAAAGTGATCACTTACTTCTTAGAGTAGAAAGCATCATCTTCCTTTATTTCATTAACAACTACTTTGGGTGGCTCCTCCTCATCCTCATCTCCTCCTTAAATAAATATTTAACAGTCACAAACACCTCTCATGAAAGATCCATTTGAGTGTTCACTGTGTTTTATATACACACAGATATTTTTCCAAAATAGATTGATACAGTATTTGGTATTTTTCTAATGCTACTGTTATATTCCTTTGCATTAGAGCAATGGTTTTCAACTTTATGATGTCAGTTACCACTTTACAACGCTTGATCCAATATGACACCACACCAGCGAACAAGCTCGCTGCGTCGCTCATCTCCCTGGAGATCATCTGTCCAAACTTACTTGGACACTTTCTTCAAGAAGGCAGACAAAACTCCAGAAAAACCTGCAGCCAAGACTCCTGACAAGACTCCAGCCAAGAGCCCTTCAAGAAGTCCAGCAAAGTCACCTCAAAGAAGTCCTTCCAAATCAATATGATTGCTATTTACAATATAAATACTTTAATGTAGCTATATCACTCATCTATAATTGATTGAGTACAAAATTCTGGGGTATTTTTGGTGAAAATAGGGTATCAGACCTTGGTTCAGGAACCAATCCCACATTTATAACATTGTTTCTCATGAGAAAATTGGTTCCGAGTTACGTTTCAACTTAAAACCAGGTTTTCAGGAACCAATTGTGTCTTAAGTCCGGGGGCTGCCTGTATATGAGTTTTAAATATAGGAAGAAATAGAAGTGCACAATATATTGACCTATATTCGATCAGCACTGATAAAAGGAAAACAGACATTACTGGCAATTGGCTTTTTTTGGCTGGTATAGCTGAAAATGTCACCAATAAATGCTGCGTGCATGTGCGCAACTGTAGCATGCATGTGGCCAGGAATGCAGCCCAGCAGCTTAGAGAGCAGCATTTGGCTGGTAAGCCTGTGGGGGAGAAGGGGCGCAGATCGAGGCCCCCAGAGTGAGGGAGGGAGTGGGGCTGGGGCAGGTACTGCCCAGCTGGGCAGGGTGGGGCAGGGTATAGGACGAAGCTGCAGATGGCTTGTCCAGAGGGCACAGAGGGTTGGGAGGGGGGCAGCTCCCAGCCATTGCATGCACCCCATGGGAGGCATACGCCCCCCCAGATGTGTGTGCAGGGCAAGGGTGGGCTGCCCACAGCAAGCTCAGGGCCAAGGACTGCAC